AGCCGAATTGACCAAGCAGAAGAAAGAATATCTGAAGTCGAAGACCAACTCAACGAAATAAAACAAGAAACCAAGATCAGAGAAAGAAGTGCAAAAAGGAATGAACAAAGTCTCCAAGAAATGTGGGACTATGTGAAAAGACCTAACCTACGTTTGATAGGTGTACCAGAAGGGGACGAAGAGAATGAATCCAAGCTGGAAAATACTCTTCAGGACATCATCCAGGAAAATTTCCCCCACCTAGCAAGAAAGGCCAACACTCAATTGCAGGAAATACAGAGAACACCACAAAGATATTCCGCAAGAAGAGCAACCCCAAGGCACATAATCGTCAGATTCAACAGGGTTGAAATAAAGGAGAGAATACTAAGGGCAGCCAGAGAGAAAGGTCGGGTCACCCACAAAGGGAAGCCCATCAGACTCACAGCAGATCTCTCGGCAGAAACACTACAAGCCAGAAGAGAGTGGGGGCCAATATTCAACATTCTTAAAGAAAAGAACTTTCAACCCAGAATTTCATATCCAGCCAAACTGAGCTTCAGAAGTGAAGGAAAAATAAAATCCTTTGCGAACAAGCAAGTACTCAGAGATTTTGTCACCACCAGGCCTGCTTTACAAGAGCTCCTAAAAGAGGCACTACACAAAGAAAGGATCAACCAGTACCAGCCATTCCAAAATCACACTGAATGCTAAAGAGCTTCAACATAATGAAGAATCTACAACAACTAACAGGCAAAACAGCCACTTAGCATCAAAATGGCAGTATCAAATTCACACATAACAATCTTAACCCTAAATGTAAATGGACTAAATGCACCAATCAAAAGACACAGACTGGCAAATTGGATAAAAATCCAAAACCCATCAGTGTGCTGTATCCAGGAAACCCAACTCACATGCAAGGATACACAAAGGCTCAAAATAAAGGGATGGAGGAAGATTTACCAAGCTAATGGAAAGCAAAAAAAAGCAGGAGTTGCAATTCTCATCTCTGATAAAATAGACTTTAAAGCAACAAAGATCAAAAGAGACAAAGAAGGCCATTACATAATGGTAAAAGGATCAATACAACAAGAAGAGTTAACGATCCTAAACATATATGGACCCAATGCAGGAGCACCCAGATACATAAGGCAAGTTCTTAATCACTTACAAAAGGACTTAGACTCCCACACAATAATAGTGGGAGACTTTAACACTCCACTGTCAATACTAGACAGATCAACCAGACAGAAAATCAACAAGGATATCCAGGGCTTGAACTCAGACCTGGAGCAAGCAAACCTGATAGACATTTACAGAACTCTCCACCCCAAATCCACAGAATACACATTCTTCTCAGCACCACATCACACCTACTCTAAAATTGACCACATAATTGGAAGTAAAGCACTGCTCAACAAATGCAAAACAACTGAAATCATAACGAACAGCCTCTCAGACCATAGTGCAATCAAGTTAGAACTCAGAATTCAGAAACTGACCCAGAACCGCACAGCTTCATGGAAACTGAACAACTGGCTCTTGAATGTTGACTGGGTAAACAACGAAATGAAGGCAGAAATAAAGAAGTTCTTCGAAACCAATGAGAACGAAGACACAACGTGCCAGAACCTCTGGGACACATTTAAAGCAGTCTCTAGAGGAAAGTATATAGCAATAAGTGCCCATATGAGGAGAATGGAGAGATCCAAAATTGACACCCTATCGTCAAAATTGAAAGAGCTAGAGGAGCAAGATCAAAAAAACTCAAAACCCAGCAGAAGACAAGAAATAACTAAGATCAGAGCTGACCTGAAGGAGATTGAGATACGAAAAACCCTTCAAAAAAATCAATAAATCCAAGAGCTGGTTTTTTGAAAAGATCAACAAAATAGACAGACCACTAGCCAGATTGATTAAAAAGAAAAGAGAGAACAACCAAATAGATGCAATAAAAAATGATAAAGGGGAAATCACCACAGATTCCACAGAAATTCAAACCATCATCAGAGAATATTACAAACAACTCTATGCACATAAACTAGTAAACCTGGAAGAAATGGATAAATTCCTGGACTCCTGTGTCCTCCCAAGCCTAAACCAGGAGGAAGCTGAAACTATGAATAGACCAATAACAAGGTCTGAAGTTGAGGCAGCAATGAAGAGCCTACCACACAAAAAAAGCCCAGGTCCAGACGGGTTCACAGCCGAATTCTACCAGACACACAAGGAGGAGCTGATACCATTCCTTCTAAAACGATTTCAAACAATCCAAAGAGAGGGAATCCTTCCCAAATCATTTTATGAGACCAACATCATCCTGATACCAAAACCCGGCAGAGACCCAACGAGAAAAGAAAACTTCAGGCCAATATCCATGATGAACATAGATGCAAAAATCTTCAATAAAATATTGGCAAGCCGATTGCAACAGCAAATCAAAAAACTTATTCATCATGATCAAGTAGGATTCATCCCGGGGATGCAAGGCTGGTTCAACATACGCAAGTCTATCAACGTAATTCACCACATAAACAGAACCAAAAACAAAAACCACATGATTATCTCAATTGACGCAGAGAAGGCCTTTGACAAAATTCAACAGCCCTTTATGCTAAAAACCCTCAATAAACTCGGTATCGATGGAACGTATCTCAAAGTAATAAAAGCTATTTATGACAAACCAACAGCCAATATCATACTGAATGGGCAAAAACTGGAAGCATTCCCTTTAAAATCTGGCACTAGACAAGGATGCCCTCTCTCACCACTCCTATTCAATATAGTACTGGAAGTTCTAGCCAGAGCAATCAGGCAAGAAAAAGAAATAAAGGGTATTCAAATAGGAAAGGTGGAAGCCAAATTGTCTCTATTTGCAGACGACATGATAGTATACCTAGAAGACCCCATTGCCTCAGCCCAAAAACTCCTGAAACTGATAAGCAACTTCAGCAAAGTCTCAGGATATAAAATCAATGTGCAAAAATCACAAGACTTCGTCTACACCAATAACAGACTTAAAGAAAGCCAAATCAAGGGCGAACTGCCATTCGCAATTGCTACAAAAAGAATAAAATACCTTGGAATACAACTCACAAGGAACGTAAGAGACCTCTTCAAGGAGAACTACAAACCACTGCTCAACGAAATCAGAGAGGACACAAACAGATGGAGAAACATTCCATGTTCATGGTTAGGAAGAATTAATATCGTGAAAATGGCTATACTGCCCAAAGTAATTTACAGAATCAACGCTATCCCCATCAAGCTACCATTGACTTTCTTCACAGAACTGGAAAAAACCACCATGAACTTCATATGGAACCAAAAGAGAGCCCGCATAACCAAGTTAATTCTAAGCAAAAAGAACACAGCGGGGGGCATCACACTACTGGATTTCAAACTATACTACAAGGCTACAGTAATCAAAACAGCATGGTACTGGTACCAAAACAGAGATATAGACCAATGGAACAAAACAGAGGCACCAGAGGCAACACAACATACATACAACTATACAATCTTTGATAAACCTGACAAAAACAAGCAATGGGGAAAGGATTCCATGTTTAACAAATGGTGTTGGGAAAACTGGCTAGCCATGTGCAGAAAGCAGAAACTGGACCCCTTCCTGACACCTTACACTAAAATTAACTCCAGATGGATTAAAGACTTAAACATAAGACCTAACACCATAAAAGCCCTAGAAGAAAATCTAGGCTAAACCATTCAGGACATAGGAGTAGGCAAGGACTTCATGAACAAAACACCAAAAGCATTGGCAACAAAAGCCAATATAGACAAATGGGACCTAATGAAACTCCACAGCTTCTGCACGGCAAAAGAAACAGTCACTAGAGTGGATCGGCAACCAACAGAATGGGAAAAAATTTTCGCAGTCTACCCATCTGACAAAGGGCTGATATCCAGAATTTACAAAGAACTCAAACAGATTTACAGGAAAAAAACAAACAAGCCCATTCAAAAGTGGGCAAAGGATATGAACAGATACTTTACGAAAGAAGACATATATGAGGCCAACAATCATATGAAAAAATGCTCATCGTCACTGGTCATCAGAGAGACGCAAATCAAAACCACATTGAGATACCATCTCACGCCAGTTAGAATGGCGATCATTAAAAAATCTGGAGACAACAGATGCTGGAGAGGATGTGGAGAAAAAGGAACACTTTTACACTGTTGGTGGGAGTGTAAATTAGTTCAACCATTGTGGAAGACAGTGTGGTGATTCCTCAAGGCCTTAGAAATAGAAATTCCATTTGACCCAGCAATCCCATTACTGGGTATATATCCAAAAGATTATAAATCGTTCTACTATAAGGACACATGTACACGAATGTTCATTGCAGCACTGTTTACAATAGCAAAGACCTGGAATCAACCCAAATGCCCATTGATAATAGACTGGATTGGAAAAATGTGGCACATATACACCATGGAATATTATGCAGCAATCAGAAATGATGAGTTTGTGTCGTTTGTAGGGACATGGATGAATCTGGAAAACATCATCCTCAGCAAACTGACACAAGAACAGAAAATGAAACACCGCATATTCTCACTCATCGGTGGGTAATGAAAAATGAGAACACATGGACACAGAAAGGGGAGTACTAAACACTGGGGTCTATTGGGGGGAAAAGGGGAGGGCCAGCGGGAGGGGGAGGTGGGGAGGGATAGCCTGGGGAGAAATGCCAAATGTGGGTGAAGGGGAGAAGAAAAGCAAAGCACACTGCCATGTGTGTACCTACGCAACTGTCTTGCATGCTCTGCTCATGTACCCCAAAACCTATAATCCAATAAAATATTAAAAAAAAAAAAAAAAGAAAATAATGTTTTTTAATGTAGAAAAATGTGCATTTTTTTCCCTAACACATATTTCTGATTGAAACCCTCTATTCCTTCCTCACTGGATACTTTTAAAAGGTCCTTCTGTGGGCTCCTTCCAGTCCTTCATTTCTAAGCAAAGCTCATATTCTCACTCATTTCCTAACCTGAGATCCATGTTGATCGCTGCCATTGTTCACCATGGACACTGTGCCTTTCTTCTTGTGCTTTATTCTTGGGACTTTTTCTGCCTCAAAAAAGCTTGCTTGATCACCATACAGTTGGCTGAAAAAAACATATAATAAGGTTATAAAATGTAAGTACTCTCAAAATGAAATACAGAAGCAGTAGTAACATATAGGATTACCAATTATTTCTTTACAGAAAGGATACTAGGATTCAAAATATTCCCCTTTTTTGCTAGACATTTAGGGAACTTCAAGAAAAAAAATATAAATTTGGACCATATTTTAATATGTACATTGAAGCATGAGCAATTATATTTTTCCTCATTTAAGAATAAAAGAACTTGTTCTGTGCTTCCAGAGGCAAAAAAAAAAAAAGAAGAAGAAGAAGAAAAGAACTTACCCAAAAATAGACTCTCCTCCACGGCCAGTCCCTGTAGGATCACCAGTTTGTATGATAAAATCCCTCTGTAATATGCAGGATTCTTTGTTAATTCAAAGAGTTTGTTAGATAGTTCCAATAACAAAGGAAATGACTTAGTATCTACCAACTCACCTGTACATTGTGAATAAGGCAATAATTGTAATATTTTATCTTGCACAATTTCAAGAAATTCAAGCAGGCTGAAAGAAAGAAAGTACAAAATTTATCACAGTAATCCACAAATACATTTTTAAATAAGTAAAAGCAAAGTAAAATGTAATTTCTAAATTACCATTAAAAGAAAAAAAAGTCAAATGTCCAAAATTATAAAAAAGGGCAATAGGCCTGGCGCAGTGGCTCACAACTGTAATCCTAGCATTTTGGGAGGCCGAGATGGGCAGATCACTTAAGATCAGGAGTTCAAGACCAGTCTGGTCAACACAGTGAAACCCCATCTCAACTAAAAATACATAAAAAATTAGCCAGGCATGGTGACAGGCACCTGTAATCCCAGCTACTCAGGAGGCTGAGGCAGGAGAATCACTTGATCCCAGGAGGCAGAGGTTGCAGTGAGCCAAGATAGCACCACTGTGCTCCAGCCTGGGTGACAGAACGAGACTTACCTCAAAAAAAATAAACTAGGGCTGGGCATGGTGGCTAACGCCTGTAATCCCAGCACTTTGGGAGGCAAAGGCGGGCAGCTCACCTGAGGTCAGGAGTTCAAGACCATCCTGACCAACACGGAGAAACCCCATCTGTATTAAAAATACAAAAGTAGCCAGGCATGGTGGTGTATGCCTGTAATCCCAGCTACTCGGGAGGCTGAGGCAGGAGAATAGCTTGAACCTGGAAGGTAGAGGTTGCAGTAAGCCAAGATCGCACCATTGCACTCCAGCTTGGGCAACAAGAATGAAGCTCCGGCTCAAAAATAAATTAAATTAAATTAAAGATCAATAATTGCTCTAGAGAGCAATTATTTTTAAGTCTAGAAAAAAAGCAACATATTTTGAAGTACTTTTTTTTTTCTTTCATAGGATTTTCAGGGTATCTGGGCTAATACAGAAAACCGACACTTATCTGTGATAAGCAATCATTTATTGATAGATTGATTTTACTACGAGAAAAAAGAACACTTAAAGTGCATATTGTAATAGTAATGGATCTAGCATAATATATAAAAATGAATACAGATTATATCGATTAGGAAAAAGTCAAACATCTAGGGTCAGTTTTTAAATAATAAACAGTCCTTTATAAAAAGCCATACACTGGCCAGGCGCAGCAGCTCACGCCTGTAATCCCAGCACTTTGTGAGGCCAATGCGGGAGGATCATGAGGTCAGGAGTTCGAGACCAGCCTGGTCAACATGGTAAAACCCAGTCCCTACTAAAGATACAAAACATTAGCCAGGCATGGTGGTGAGCACCTGTAATCCCAGCTACTCAGGAGGTTAAGGCAGCAGAATTGCTTGAACCCAGGAGGCAGAAGTTGTAGTGAGCCGAGATCACACCATTGCACTCCAGCTTGGGAGACAGAGAGAGACTCTGTCTCAAAATAAATAAATAAATATTTTTAAAAATAAAAATAAAAATCCATACATTTATCACGAACAACCGTTTTCATGTAAATTAATCCTGCTTATCCAACAAACATTTATCGAGTTCTTTTTAGATGGCTTGAGGCTGCCATCACAAATGCCAGTAAACCGTGGTCCCTGCTTCCAAAAAGTTCACAGTCTAGTCATGAAAGACATGTTAACAAGTTCCTAAAGGCACTAAGTAAGAAACCGGACAGACAGTAAGATATATGAGGCAGTCCCTGCCCTCAAAAAGCTTATATTAAATTAGGGTCCTTACATGCGAATACAAGACGTGTTCAAATTACATACTGAGCCTATCTAATGAATAACGTGTGCCACTTAAATAGTAAAATGGTAAAAAGTAGTTTTAAAAATTCCACAAGAGTTCAAAAGATGGTTTCTGGCTAGGGAAATCAGAACACCTCAGGGAAGGTTAAGGCAAACATTAAAAGAACTACACTAGCAGAGCGTCAAGGGTGACCATTTTAAGTTTGGAAGACTACGAAAAGGCCTGGAAATGGGAATTTAAATGTTTTAAGGGTCTGTAATAGTCTGGTATTACACAGTAATAGAGGATGAAAAGGCTGGAGAGATAAGATGGAGCTAGCTGTTCAAGAGTGTTGAATATCAGTCTTGCAGTTGTTTTTCTTAATGTATTTCTGGGCTTCCTGTTAAACAGTTAGGAGTAGTCCTTTTACTAGAAAACAAAAATTATGGATTTAGGCAATGATCACCAATGGCTGCCAAAACAGTAAGTCTTTTATCAAAATCTGATGATTATAAGGGTAACAAGGCCGCCAGGCGTGGGGGCTCATGCCTATAATCCCAGCACTTTGGGAGGCCAAGGCGGGCAGATCATGAGGTCAGAAGATCGAGACCAGCCTGGCCAACATGGTAAAACCCCATCGCTCCTAAAAATACAAAAATTAGCCGGGCATGGTGGTGCGTGCCTGTAATCCCAGCTACTCAGGAGGCTAAAACAGGAGAATCGCTTAAACCAGGGAGTCAGAGGTTGTAGTGAAAGAGATGGTGCCACTGTACTCCAGCCTGGCAACAGAGTGAGACTCCATCTCAAAAAAAAAAGAAAGAAAGAAAGGGCAACAAGGCCATAATGCGCTGACCAATTTTAACATCACAAAAAGAGCCAACCAGACATCAAGTGCCTCCTGAATGTGATGCAGCTGAAAGTACACACCATCTTATATGAAATATTCGTGCCAAAAACATTAGATCTGAATCTGATCAAGGCTCTAAAGCTGAAGAACAACTTATAGGAAATAGAGGGCATAAAGGAATATGTTAATGGACACAGTAAATAATCAGTCAAATCCAAAACAAGAGAAATTCTACAAGACAAAGGACCGAGATTCTTTCCCAAAATTTTTCAAGAAAAAAAAGGGGGAGAACCAATAGATTAAAACATACATAAGAGACATTTTAACCAATATAATATATGGACTTTGGGTCCTAATTTAAATTACCAGATACTCTTAAAATTTATGAGATAATAGGAAAGTTTAATGATACTAAAAAATTACTGCTAGTTTTTTCAAAGTGTGATAAAATTTGTGGTTCTGTTTTTCTTTTCCTTTTTTACAACTTTTTCTTTTTTCTTTAGCATTTTTCCCTTTTCCCTGTCAAATTTTCTTTCTTTTTTTAACCGTCACTTATGTGGCACTTAAGCTCATAGTTCTGGTTTTTTTTTTTTTTTTTTCAAAGAGTCCTTATCTTTTACAAATACATACTGAAGTAATTACAGATTAAATAGATACACTGGAGGTGGGGGTATTTAATGGCTTTGTGTTCACAGCTGTTAAACAAAGCTGGTAATGTGGACATGAGAGTTCCTTTACATGATTCTCTCCACATCTGTGTTTTACATTTTCTATAATAAAAAGTTAAAAAAGAAAAGGAAGAAAGAAGGGGAGGAAGGAAAGTAGGTTAAGTCTGGATACATTGATCGTAGATTGATAAGAGGGTATGAATATAGTAGGTAGGCATGTAAGCAGATCTCCAGTCATGTGCTTTCAAATACGTACAGGGGGTGGACTTAGGTTTTGGTGTTATGAGCTTATCTTTGCAGAACCACTGCTTGTTAACTGGGTGCGATAGCCCTACCTCCCCTTTATTTCCTCACAACTCTGGGGAAAGAGGCCCATTCATTTTGCCAGGTGCTGCTCTACATGAACAAAGTGTCAAAAAAAACTCAAAGTAAAATCAAGAGATAAAAAACAAAATTCCCTATCCTTTGAAACCCTGGATCCAGCCACCTTTAAAATGAAGCTTACCCCAGTATTATGAAGCAACAAATTATTTTCTTTGTTTAAGCCAGTTTGAGTTGGGTTTCTATCACTTGCACAAAGGGTCCTAATACAATACACTTATATCCAGTAGTCAATATAATGAACCTCTAGTGTGTGCCCTAAAAGTAGCAAGCATTGTACTAGGTATTCAGGATATAGAGATGATAATTGTGGTATAGTTCCTGCTCTCACTGGAGTTTACATTCTTGAAAGAAGAAGACTTGTAATCGGCTCCAGAAAAATAGGCAAATATCATAATAGAGTGTGTCATAGGTCTATAAAAGACCTAAGACAGAGCAGAAGAAACCTCAGATAACTGCTTAGAAAGGAGGAAGAGCGGTTGTTCCCAGAGGGCTGTGCGACATCGATTCGTCGGCACTGTCACGGCCGGTGTGCTAAAGAAGACCGCTGGCCTTGTGGGATTGGCTGTGTGCAATACTCCACATGAGAGGCTAAGAATATTGTACACAAAGATTCTTGAAGTTCTTGAGGACATCCCTAAAAATGCAGCATATACAAAATATACAGAACAGATTATAAATGAGAAGCTAGCTATGGTTAAAGCAGAACCAGACGTTCAAAAATTAGAAGACCAGCTTCAAGGTGGTCAATTAGAAGAGGTGATTCTTCAGGCTGAACATGAACTAAGTCTGGCAAGAAAAATGGTGCAGTGGAAAACGTGGGAGCCAGTAGTGGAAGAGACTCCTGCCGATCAGTGGAAATGGCCAATATAATTATTAAGTGATTTTGGCGGGGTAATGGGAAACTGATGTAATGAAATGTTCTGTTCTATTAAGAGCGTGTTCATATTACTGACATAATCAAGAAAACTGATATAGAAAATATCTAGGAGACTGTTAAAATTAGTGATTATGATAATTCAGTCATGTGAATCCATTTTTGATTTGTAGTCACACAAATTATTTCAAAGATGATATTTCTATGAACAGAGAGGTCATGGGAAGATTTGAGAATTAATTGGAAAAATTCCTACAGATCTTCAATGTAGAGGCCATAATCAAAAAGTAAAGTTTCTTTAATAGTATGTTCAACACATCATTCAATTTTTTAAATTATCCTGAAGAAGAAGAGAAAAGGTCCTTAATTATTATGGTCTAAACAAATTTATAGATCACTGTTTGAGGTAAAAAATAAGAGTGATTTTTTAAATGTGATAAAATAGCACAGAGGCTGGTAATAAAATTTGAAATTATGGTTAACCTCCTTAACTGTGATCTTATGGATGTAAAGTTTAAATATATAGTTATATATTGATTACAAAATCCATAATGCCATTTTATTTTAGTCATTATTTGAATTATACCATTTACTCTGTTTTCTTATAGTCTTAATTTTATTACATTTTGTTGTTACGTATATTTAAAAACTAAATTAGAATACATTGTACAGTTGAAGAAAATGACTTGGTACTTGAAGGAAAGATTTCCCATTGCATAGAGGTACTTGGAAAAACTTTTCCTTTTGTTGCATTTGTGGAAGTTAGTTTTCTGGCCCATAGTCTTTAAATTTCTTAACCTAATTACATCAGGATAGAGATAGAATTTCTGTAAAAGAAGAGACAATAACAGTTCCTGCCATTTATATCTGGCATATGGATAGGCTTCAAAACATCTTAGTCATAGGACTATAAATTCAAAGTGGAATCACTAAGTAATTTGCAGTATGTTTCTAATATAAGTGTAGGTGGGTATAAAAACAAGACAAATGCTGTTCAGGGAAAGAAGTTGGCAAGCTTAAGATTAAACAAAAATAAAATTACATGTGTTTTTGCCTTTAAAAAAAAAAGAAAGAAAGAAAGGAGGGAGGGCTTCAAAGAAGAGATGATGCTTGATCTGAGATTTAGATATAAGTAATCGGTTTGCCAGAAGGACAAAAGTGGAGAGGAATACTGGTTAGAAGGAACAGCAAGAGAATGGTAAAAATGGCACGGGAGAGTTTGTAGTGTTTCTGCCGGGTGGAGAGGAGGGAGGAATAGCTGGGTGCGGGGGTGGGGGGAATGGAGCATGTCAGAAAGTAGTTATTGTACAATATTGCAACTTATTTCATCTTCTTTGATAGGCTCTGCATTCCATGTGGGTAGGACCCTGTCTGTAACTAATCTCTCCTGGTCTCCAGTTTCTTCCTGACTCTGATACATTCTCCACACTGCTGCCTATTATCTTCTCAAAACAAGTATGCCACACCTCAATACTGCTTTTAAAGTCTTCAAACACTCTGATCATCAGTAGGACACACAAGACTATTCAAGAGCTGACCTAAGCGTATCCGACCAGACCAGAGTATGCCTTTGCACGACTCATACCAGTCCTTCTAGTCACACCAAATTATTTGCCGTTTCCAGAAAATTCCAAGCAAAGAAAGTCTCAGCTAAGAAAACCCTCATTCACATTCATCTTTGAAAGAACTACTTCAAGTGTTCTACTTGCAAGCTTTGCTTCTCCCCATCCCCCGCCCCAAGAAGACGCCCTCTTCTGGTTTCCATGGCAACTTACACATTCTTCTACCAAAACACAGAAAACTAAAATGGGTTCCTATGTCAATTTCCCCCAATGGAAAATCAGACCCTCAGAGGCAAGAAGCCAAGCCCAGGACTTAGCCCAGTGCCTCAAAGGCTCAAGTTCACACTCCGGACGACCTCTTCTTCCAACCAGGCGGGATGCCCACACTCGCTGCGCCAAGCACACCCTACCTGCCTTCATCAAGATTTAACCAACCATGCATCAAGCAGTAGTTGCTATGTTCCTCTCCCAAGTAAACACAGTAAAGGCACAAAAGCTATGGGTATTGTATGTACAGCTCGAATCACACCCACAGCCGCCCCCCGCCCCTGCGACACACACACTCCCAAAGGCAATTTATTGACCGCAAGCACCCTCCACCGGACTGGCCAACACAAGATACAGGAGAAGGGCTGCCAAGGCTCAAACGAATTCGTCACAAAAACTTTTCTAGCCAAGGCAGGTTAATAAAAAGCCCAGTCGCAGACACCAGCAGCCCAGAAGTTCGAGCTCCAACCAATCTATAGCCTGGACTGCGCAGAAAAGGGAAAGTGGGGGGACAAGCTCGGGGGTCCCTGCGACAGGTGAGCGGGGCTCAAGCCTCACCACGCGGCCGCTCCTCGGTGTACAAGTCGATGACGACGTCGCCCAAAGTGGTCTCCAGCAGAACCGCCATGGCGCCCGCTCCTCCTCTGCTACAAACCCCGGGGGGTGGTGACAGGCGCAGGTCGTCAGTGTGGTTTACGCCACACGTCACCCTCGGCGCGACCCCTGTTGCGTCATCTCGCCGGCGCCGCCCCTCGCTTCCGGGCAGTTTTTCCGGCCGGTGGGTGGGCCCAGGGCCGCCGCGCTGACGTGCAGTCCCTATTCGTCCCGCCCCCGACGCGGCCTTTTTGAAAATTCCGTTGGCGACTTTTGCGGAAGCCTGTCGCTCAGAACAGCCACAGAATAGTGTTTTGTGTCCCATTTGTGTCCGTCTCAAGAGCAGAGCGGCTCTCCGATCGGCCCTTTAATCCACCAGGGGGCGCCCACGACGGGATCGTATGCCCACCTTTTTGGGCGGAGTCCTTCGGCTCTCCTGTCAGTCTCCTCTTCGCAAAACAACTTTTGGCCTCTACTGTGGGTTTCCGATTCTAAGAACTAACATTTTGTTTCGTATTGTTTTCTGTTTTGAGACGGGGTCTCGCTCTGTCGCCCAAACTGGAGTGCGGTGGCTCTATCTCGGTTCACTGCAACCTCTACTTCCCCGGCTCCAGCGATTCTCCTGTCTCAGCCTCCCAAGTACCTGGGACCACAGGCCGCGCCATCACGCCCGGCTAATTTTGTTCACTTATTTTTTGTAGAGATGGCGGTGGGGGGAGATGGTCTCACTATGTTGCTCGGGTTGCTCTTGAACTCCTGAGCTCAAGGAGTTCGAACTCTTCCTGCCTCGGCCTCCCGAAGCTCTAGGAGCCAGGATTACTGGCGTGAGCCACAGCGCCCGGCCAGAACTAACATTTTGTCATGCAAGTTTATTCCCTAAACACTCTTCTGGGCACGCCTGTCACTCTCTTTTATGACATTTTATAATCTTATAATCTCCAATAACTTCACATCTGACAAAAAGCCAAAGCTGTTATAATGGCTGACAAGGCCTTACAAGATCCTCTCCTACCCCATCTTATTCCCGGGGAACTACGCTAGACAGTTTTCTATTCTCTGAACACTGCTGACACAGTCCTGCCTTAGGTCTTTTCAATTGCCATGGTTGGGAGACTTCTTCCTCCAGTTATTTGCATGGCTCCCCTTCACCCTTTTCAGGTGCTTTGGCATCCGATACTTTTTCTCCAGGGTACTTTTTACAATCTAACATGCTCTTTACGAATTTGTTTATGTTTCTTTATTGTTACTAGAATGTGTAATCCATGTTGTTTTGTTTAAAGCTGTATCCCTAATGCCTATGACAGCCTGGTACATAATGTGCAAATAAATGTTTATTGAATGAATGAATGAATATTGTGTTTTGGCTTTTGGCTTTTTCTGAGATGGAGTCTCACTCTCTTGCCCAGTCTAGAGTGCAGTGGTGTGATCTCAGCTCACTACAACCTCCGCCTCCTGGGTTCAAGCGATCCTCCTGCCTCAGCCTCCGGAGTAGCTGGGACTACAGGCACCTGCCACCACACCTGGCTACTTTTTTCTGTTTTAGTAGAGATGAGGTTTCACCATGTTGCCGAGGCTGGTCTCGAACACCCAACCTCAAGTGATCCACCTACCTTAGCCTTTCAAAGTGCTGGGATTACAGGTGTGAGCTACCATGCCCAGCCATGAATATTGTTAATTAAAGAGATACATTTCTGATGGGAATGCAAAATTATATTAATACAAATAGGGAACAGCAGCTAGAGCTTCTCCTGGGGTCAATCTAAGGTTTCTCAGGAGAAGGGTGTCCATGCGTTGTTCAGTTTGCAGTACCATTTGGAGTTTGTTTGCTTCTAGGTGAGAAGAAACAATTGGAGTTACAGTCTTGAGTATACGGGATCCAAATATTAATACAAGACTTATAAATAAGAAAGGGCTTAATAAAGGGGTTACCCAATTCCATAAAGAAGGCTGGAATTCATTAAAGGATTGTAGCCACCCAGGGGCTGAAGCTGGCATTTTCCCTGAGCCTGTCAATAATTTTAATTTGATCTTTAAGTACCTGTAGATTTTTCTCTACTTTACTAGAGGTGTTCATCCAGAAGAAACATGTTTCACTTAAAAGTGCATAAGTACAGCTGGCACGGTGGCTCATGCCTATAATCCTAGCACCTTGGGAGGCTGAGGTGGGAGGATCACCTGAGGTCAGGAGTTCAAGACCAGCCTCGCTAACATGGTGAAACCCTGTTTCTACTAAAAATACAAAAAATTAGCCGGTGTGGTGGCGCGTGTCTGTAATCCCAGCTACTCGGGAGGCTGAGGCAGGAGAAGCACTTGAACCTAGATGGCAGAGGTTGCAGTGAGCCAAGATTGTGCCATTTGTACTCCAGCTCGGGCAACAAGAGTGAAACTCATTCTAAAAAAAAAAAAAAAAAAAAAAAAGAGGCCAGGCACAGTGGCTCATGCCTGTAATCCCAGTACTTTGGGAGGCTAAGGCAGACAGATTGCAAGGTCAGGAGTTCGAGACTAGCCTGACCAACATGGTGAAACCATATCTCTACTAAAAATACAAAAGTTAGCTGAACTTGGTGGTGCATGCCTGTATTCCCAGCTACTCAGGAGGCTGAGGCAGGAGAATCGCTTGAAACTGGGAGGTGGAGGTTGCAGTGAGTCAAGATTGCACCATAGCACTCCAGCCTGGGTGACAGAGAAAAGAGAGAGAGAGAGAGAGAGAAAGGAAGGGAAGGGAGGGGAGGGGAGGGAAGGAGAAGGAAGAAGGGAAGGGGAGAGAAAGAGAGGGAGGGAGGAAGAAAATGCACAGGTACCTCCTACTTCAGCCTTAAGGACATCTAAGGCGTGTCTATTTTGTGCTACTCCTGAGGCTAAGAGTCTATAGATTGCTGTTGTGCCTCTGTGGCCCTTACAGTTGCATTCCATTCTTGTTTCATCATAATAGAGATATTAAGTATTGATCTTTCAAGGAGAGGGATGCCCCCAAACCAGAATAGATTTCTAGCTATAAAATTTCCCATCCATGATTTTTCTAAGATGGGATTGTCATGTGCATGCCCTCCCTAGTCTGCCCTTTCAGTTAAATCTCCATACGAGGGCATAGAAGTGATATATCTCTTTGTCTGGTGTATTTGAGATAGTGCAGTTTCTAGAAAAGAAGCCTAAGTTAGGGATATCCCCAGATAATGCTGCCATCTCAGTGGAATTTTAAAAAAATAAGTCAGGAGGCCAAGTGTGGTGGCTCACATCTAGTAACCTCAGCACTTTGGGAAGCCAAGGCGAGCAGATCACCTGAGGTCAGGAGTTTGAGACCAGCCTGACCAACATACATGGTGAAACCCTATCTCTATTAAAAATACAAAAATTAGCTGGGTGTTGTGGTTGGTGCCTGTAATCCCAGGTACTCAGGAGGCTGAAGCAGGAGAATCACTTGAACCCAGGAGGCAGAGGTCGTAGTGAGCAGAGATTGCACAATTGCACTCTAGCTTGGGAGACAGAGCAAGACTCAGTCTCAAAAAAAAATTACAATAATTATAAGTCAGGAACTACTGCGACTACACTATAAATTCCCTTCCACTTTCTTAGGAGGATTAAGTGTATCCAAGAGCCACAAAGAAAATATAGCCCTGCTGCTCGTAGAGACAGTTCTAAGTTGTGGCTTGTGAGACACTGGCAAATTTTTCTCATATCTTAGAAATTTTCCTTCTTTACATATAATAGGGACATCCTTGGGATAAGGATAACCATATTTAGGATAGTCACTTAAGATGCCATTTGGAATTTGACATGCTAAAATGAAAAGCATCCACCTGACAAATGGAGTTTTAAAAAATTAGTGAAATAATATGCCCTGGCCAATATCTCAGATGATCATTGTGGCAAAGGCTGTCAGTCCAGATGTCTCCAATTCACTCACATATTTGTAAACGGCTACTATTAGCAAACATCATACAAGGGTCTGGAGTTCCTTGAGGGGACATGTTTGGAAAGGCCCGTGTGTTATTCTTTACATTATAGTCAAGGTGGTTATTTAGAACATGTCATTCCCATCTGGACTTCCAACCTATGGGAGAGGATAGATTCTGAAAGCCCCCTGTACTAGGGCTTCTGATTCTTGTAGATTACCCTTGTTGCATTCTCCCCAAATATTTGAACTTTCAGCAATTACAAATGTGATGTTACAATATTTGAGATGTCCCCAGTATGGTCCTTCTCCCTTACTTCTAAAGCAGTGGGAGGCATTTGCTATTACTTGGTCCACTTTTCCCAGCCTGAGGGTGTGAAGTTTGTCTTTGGGGAGAGTGTTCTTTGGCAATGAGGGCAGAATTTTTTCCTGAGAGGAGTTAGTCACCCAGTTGAAAGTGCTCCCATACCATGTTCCATTTATGCCTGATATGTCTTTAAGGGTTAAAGGTAAAGCCAACAAAGGGAACCCTAAGGTGGTGAGTTCTGAGTCATTGTAAGGTTTCCCAGTGCCGTTGAACTGAGTGATCTACTCAGGACAGACACAACAATTAGTCTCGGTGTAAAAATGGGCCATAGCAGATATTACAGGAGCTAAGGGTATGATGTATTACTAAGTCCAATAAAACATCCTAACGGACTTAGTAAAATGCTCATGTCTACTGCAGGTTAACAACTGTTATTCCAGCTCTTAGTAATTAAGCAAACTGCTACAGTAATTGAGATTCTTTGTTCGATATTCCACCCTGAGGGTGCTATAGTATATAGTCATATTTGGCTTAAGGGGAGAGGTAGAAATGGCAAAAGGGATTTCGTGAGGTAGAGGTGAGACGAAGTAAGGTGAGTAGTTATACTCTGTTCCTCATCTTTTGTGATTTTCAGCTTAAGGTTTCCTATTTCTTTGCATTGATATTCAGGTTGTTCCTCTGGGCTGTCAGGAGTTGCTCCCTCAGCTTTCCAGGCTTTGACTCGAGTGTGATGTATTCAAGAGTCGATTCCTGTAACTTTTATTGCCAGGGGGTTTGGAAGAAGAACAGTGTAAGGCCCTTCCCAGCTTGGGCTTAGGGAGGGAGAGAGAGGAGGGAGAGCCTTCAGCAGTACCAAATCTTCTGGGTTAATAGAGGGGTCCAATTTCCTGGGATTAGGCCTTTGCTACTTGTGCTAATTCCTGT